CAAGAATAGTAAATAGTTACCTCCATTTAACCGATTTGACATTACAACTGGTCCAATAATAAAATTGGCAATCATACCTGCCCAAACATTAATTTTAAAAACATGCTGGAACAGAGTTCCAGAGAGACCGTGAGAAAAAATTCTCGTCTCAATAATGTGCATTGTTGTTCATTACAAGCAAATTGATTCTTCTGAGATACAGAAAATTGCTGAAGTCATACCGAAGGCAGTTCTGATAAGCAACGATTAATACCGTGTTTAGTTCGATAGAAGGAAACATCAGGACCCGGCAGGGAAAACAATTGTAAGGTTTCGCGCAATTGTATTACTTACATATTATTATTATACAATTGTCTCATCAATTATTCAATCAACTTTGCACATTTTGACCGGAACTTTTCTTTAACGTTAACTGTGATATGAGATTAATGATTTTTGTAATTTACGAAAACTGATGTTATTAAGTGAAGTTGAGCAGTTTTGAGATAAAAGCCATGGAATGAGAGTACGAATTAAAGATCAGATATTTATTACAGTAGTTTGAAAACTAAATTTCAAATCATTGAATTCTTCTCAACTGATTAATGTGAGGAACTTATAGTTACTTTTGTGTTTTGTCAATATTTTTGCGAATATCCTAGTTTTTTTTGGAGAATTGTATTTTCAACTTTTTTCGGGACTTCTCAGTTCACTATCTCCCATATATTTAATTACTATCTCTTGTGTCGCCAAACTTACTCGAGCTTTTCGTTTGTTTAATTCAAAATCGTTGCAAAATCTGTTCTGAAGCACCTACGTACCTCTCATATAACACCTCCAGAGGAATGACGCAAATTATAAACCTTCGGTTAGAATTAGTTTAAACGGCAGAAACTGGTCTCCAACTCTTCCTGAAGCTGAGGAATCCGTCTTAATTATTTGGAAATTTATTTAATAATATTTACGCATTCGTCTGCCTTGGACCCTGCAAATTGGTTAGAACAAATTTCATTTAGTTTTAAATAGCAATTAACTAATATTGCAGTTTGGTTAAATTATAATTGAGACCTAATCGAGCAGTACAACTTTTTTACAATCAAGCAACATTACTTACTTATTGATTTTGTTACGTTAAAAACACATTTTTCAAATGCGTTAAATAAGCAACAACTGGAAATCATGAGAAGAAGAGAAGAGAAAAAATCATGAAAGTATCATAAAGATCTTAAGTTTTCAGTCATCCAATTACAGTCCAACCAGTGAAAAACATAGAAAGCCATGTGTTGGAGACAAATCTAAATGGTTATAATTCATTCAACAATCTTAATAATTACCCAATTTTGGAAAATTTTGTTACATAAGTATATCAATTAACGCTTTTTCTTGATTCAACTAAAATTGTCTATATTTTAAACAACCGATTACTCACAATAATTGTATTACAATTATATTTCGATGAGGTTTCAATTTACTAATACTGCTATGCTAAGTTATTATTAATTAAATTATTTCGGAAAATATATTTGTTTTTAACAACAATTGTGTATGCGAATTCCCGAATGCATATCAAATACGAGCAATAGTGCTTAGATGATTTTTGCTAAGCAATTTTTTCTTCAGTCTATTTCGTTATATTAGGTAGGTATGTAACTGAAATAACCAATAATTACTAACGATTTATCTAGAATGAAGCAGAATTAATTAATTTAGTACTAGAGTGGCGATAGATGACTGTTAAAGTGAGGTGGGGGACAACATAAATTTTATCGTTATTCTAGATTTCTGCTGCAGGATTTCTAAATGCGCCCCGGTTTGTCTATATACAGATGAGACATAATTTCAAATTTTGTTTTATTATAATATCTCCACTCGTTTCGGAATTATTTATACATTTCATTTTTTTTCTAAAAAATCTTTAATACCCTGTATTTTTGTAATGAAGCATTTTCGGCCTTGGGTTCAGGTAACATTTTTGATCGTAGAATCTACTGTAAATGTTTGTACACCTAATTACGGCTGATCCTCTCAAAATTTACAATTACCAATTACTTATAACTGGTTTTATATGATGTTAATTTGATACTTATTTAATTTAACACGGCTCATGTTAAAAGAACCTTAAGTTTTAAGCAACGCGGTGCACTGAAATATACGTCTTTTCAGCTCGAGTACGAGATGCAAGAAAATGAAAAAACTTCGTCTACAACGTATGTCTACAAACGTATTTCTATTTACCTGGCCCATATCGAGCCTACGGTTGCACAATAGTATCGACTGTTATTGGTTAAAAGTAGGCACATCCTTTATCAATAGATCATAAATCCGGCCAATGTGAGAGCCTGGTGTTTTTTACAATCCTAACGTTCGAACCACGCCTATTTCAGTTTATTCGCTTCTAAATTAGCATGATTGGAATAAAATGGATGATTATTCACGAGTTGCAATAAAGAAATTCTGAAGGAACACTTTTAAGGAAACTTAAGGGTTTCTCTCAATAGGTAGTTGTTTATAAACCACTGTTGAAATTTTCGGCCGTTGTGGAAAATAATTTCTTCCTGACGTTTCGCAAGCACTAGTGGCCTGCATCCTCAAAAGTGTGTTCACTTTGCTTGCGAGCATACCTAAAAATAGCAGGCACTCGTACTTGATGCCAGTAGCAGGCCCCTTTTTGACATCTCAATGGAATTGCCGCCAAACTGGAAGGCCTCCAAGCGCTAAATTGCCAGTTATACGTATACATTTGTGCAATGTTTTTCGAAAATTACACTTATTGTGTCGAAGGCGAGAAGGACCAGTTTCGGGATATTAAAGTGGGTTAAATTGAGGAAAAGTTATATTGAAACCACATACCGAACTATTCAACACGCGAAAAACCTTAAGCCCACAAGGCATTATCTTAATCAGTCTGCATTTAGTGTGTTGTAATTGTTTCCATTTATTTGGTGGTTTAAACGAGCTTTGCTGTATTCTGCTGAGGGTGTCTGAGATTCGCACATCTCGAAATATGCACTTGCTTACATCATCAATGGTTGTTATTCACAAAAATTATTTACAAATGTTGCATCCTTCGTCAGCGTTAAAGTACCGGAATTTTGACCCCGATGATATGCATTTATATATATTCCACTGTTCGAAAAAAATTATTTACTTCAAAACTTTACTACTTATAGGCAAGTCTTACTTGCCTAGTCCGTAGGCAAAAATTATTTCTAGGAAGTAATAAAAAATTTAAAGTTTTTAAAAGGCGTATTATAGGGTCGTAGTTCTAACCTTGAACTAGTGGACTAAGCTATTGAAATCTTAATTTCACTGCATAGTTTAAGTAGAATTACGAAACAAATCAATATGCATTTACGTGCGGCATTCAGCAAAATTTTCCGGTTAAGCAAATTAGTTTATTCAAATTTGAACATTTGCAAACGGTCAAATTCAGCACAATTGATTTAGAGTTTCGTATGGTAAAATAGGCTAGTTAGGCGGGGATTAATCTTGTATTTATTATATCATTTAAAGACATTTACAATACTTTGCAATTAACTCAGTTATTTGTTCAATATTCTGATGTTTTTTATTCAATTAAACGAAAGTATTCGCATCAGACTAATTTAACGGCTTTATTTATTTAGAAAGATGATCGTAATCCTCAAATTAAGCAAGCAAAAAAGTACGCAATTAAATAACTGTACCTGACAATACGTCTTCAAAGAATGGAACAATTCCATGTGCTATTCTGTGTATTTAATTTTTAGTTTTTGATGGGAAATTAGTATTCTTCTTATGAAATATGTATAAAAGGTAACGGTTGAACCTAAAAATTGAATTTGGAGAAAACGAAAGAGCTTCTACAATTTTTTTGGTACTTGTGCAACTACTCGAATTGCAAATTGTTTACTTTCAAATAAGTGATATTATTCATAATTTATTCTATTTTCTCATCGCACTAATTTGAGTCTCTTTAGTGCGCATCGGCTCGAAACTGTAGACATTTGTATTTGGCGCGCGTCCGCTGTGAAGCAAAAATAGGGAAACCAAACACCAATAAAGAATTAACGTAACTTTTACTTACAGTTTTTATTAAAACAAATTTCAAGTTTTGCATTCATTCTCATAAAATTATGTTTGATACTCTTTTCAGCTTGAAATATGATTTCGATGTTTCAAATGGCAAATGCATGAAAGTAACTCATTCTTCTAACTTACAAATGATAATTTGAACTTTTTTTACTGTTTTTTTTTTCGGAAAACAATAGGTTTTTAAGGCATGTAAAATGTATGTCCTGTCCTTAGCAGTTGGATTAAAAAGTAATACGATACAAGGGAGTGTATTTTATTTCTTTAGACCGAAAACGTATTTTGAATGTATAAGCAACATTTGGATGTATGAACTTTTGCCCAAATAAATATGTATCTGTGAGCCATCATCACGCGACATATAAAATTGCAGACAGATAAACGGAAAAATGTGTTTCTCATACAAAAACGGGGTCAAGTCTGGAGTCTGTTCAGAATCTTAAATAAATTGAAGCGATTCGCCCTAGGTCTAGGTCTAGAAACATGTTTTTGCACTTTGCATGCTGATCATGAATTGAAGTCTATTGAGACAATATAAACACTCCATGCCAGTTGTCGGTGCCATTTTGCATAGTAGAATTTATGGATTCAGAGATGAAAAAATATTCAAACATGAGATACATTTTTCGCTTCCTCGCCATCTCATTCGAAGGATTGCCAGTTACCTCATTATGAACAAAAATAAACGAAACAATTGTTGACTGCACCGAAAACCTATTTAATCTCTATCTACTTCTATAAGAGCTAATGTATTCGATAAATAATGGATTTAAAAATAAAATTCTATATTCGTCAAATAATCCCCATTAACCCGATGAGGGTTAATATGAGGCCAATATGGAACGATATGAGGTCAATTTGGAATCACCCCGTATACTTTCCAGCACCTTCGTAAAAATCGAAATGACTATTCTAATGAAATGTTGTCTAATGTCCATATTTTTTTATAGGGCCAGATCAAATAAAGCCAACGGACAGTGAAATATGCGCTGAACCAGATGGATGCGTTCGACTCAGAATTCCACGCAGTGGAAAAGCAATGGAAACGCTTCCGCCAATTTCTGTTCCTGGTTATGTTCAAAGGGCAGCACAAACTTTTCCGGACAATGTTGCTCTCTCTTGGAAAGAGGGCAAAGTTTGGAAAACATTTACTTATAGGTACATATACATATCCAAAAAGTGTAATCGGTTGGTATTTATGGAACCATTTTAATACTCAACAATTAAAAGACTTTCTCCCATTGAGATATGAGGTTATTTAGAACCCCAAAGTATAAGTTAAGTGATATCAAACATAATAAGCACATATCACATAGAACAATATTTATCCAAAATTGAGCAAGCGATAGTTGATCGATCAGGATGATACATCCGAAAGTGACGCAGGAATGTCAGTTGAGTAATCAATTAGGCATGAACAGTATTATTATGAACAAACCATAAAGTAAATCTTTTCTATACGTATCATATACAGGGTGCTGCAACTAAGATCACGGCGAACTGGAGTCTAATTTTGAAATCATTCTTGTATGCGATATTGGCATGGACCATGGACAAAAAATATTTTCGTTACACATGGTGTTTCCAAAAATCTGTGGCACCTCAAACTTATTTTAATAAAGTTTTTTCTCGCTAATCTAATAGAGATTATCGTCGGGCCAATATTGCCTGTTACTCCTCTCCATTCAATTAGACTGTAGCTGCCCCAGAGAACCACCTCCCCAAGGAAAATGTATATCTTCGTCTCACCGTGTCAGCATGTCCTCACAAAGGTACTCAATGCAATCCCTAGAAGCTCCATATGAATGGATTGTATTTATTTATTATTTGCACACATTTCATGTACAGATGATGTGCCTATGCTAATTTGTTGCCCCAACTTTCGAACGCATGCATGGACATTTTCAATCTCGCTTGCACATAAGTTCGATACTCACGTCCTCGTTTCATACGTTCGATACTCACGTTCGTCCTTTCGGTCTTCCGGACTTTGGTTGATATTTGGGAGACCGACTCTGGATATCGAATCCATCCAATGTTGTGGAGGATTATGGATGATTATCATTAAAAATGGGAGCAACTTCTTTGTATGTCTTTGATTTATTGGCATACCCTTCCAGTATAAGAAACTATGTATCTATATCTGTCTAACGAAAACAAACGATTGACAACTGACTGCGCAAATGAAACACAGCTGATTCCGAAGGGCGAATAAACGTACTTCATATATACATATATACCTGGTGCCAATTTGAAAACTTCCCACCCTATATGCATCTTTCTTGAAGTTGAAAATATGAAAACTCGGAAAGACCCGTCAATTTTATTTGTGAGGAGGACACTTTCAATTAATATTTTTAGCCCCCTTGTTTCAACCTTAGAATCTTAAATGGAAAGGGAGGTCAAGTGGCACATCGTTTTAAAGTGCGTTCAAATTTCTTACCCTGTTAAAATCGTTGAATAACAGAAATAAAATCTAGTTGAAGTTGTATGGGCGATATTATATCTGTCACTCACTCACAGAAACTCACCGCAAATGGGTGAAAATAAACCAAAACATTTTTTTGGGTTGGAGCGACGTCCGAATTTTTATGTGAAAATTCCTATGTTTTTGTTTTATTTCATAGCTTCTGCCAAACTTCTTTCTCTACGTCTTCCGATATCCGATGTCTACTCTTCCTTTTCTCTAAACCTTCGTCTTACAGTTCTTTTTGGATTCCAGTACGCGAGCCTTTTCTTAGCTTTTCTCTCTTTTTACTGCAGTTTTCTATTCCTTGATCTATTTGGAAAATATTGTGTTTGGATATCTTTATATGAGTCCGAACCATATTCGTTTTTTTATTTTGCATATGGCTGTTTCCATTATTGGCTAATTTGCCGCTTTTCTCCAGATGTCCATTCCCGTTGATTTTAATGTTTTTTTTCTGCCTGAGTTAAAAGGCGTTTCACCAGGGTGAAAGGCCCTTTCAGGGGTTTTCTGATTATATTCTCATTTCCTTTATTTGGTAAAACTATTTTTTAAATGTTTTTACTCCGTTTTGTAACCTCAACCTGAGCTACAGATATCTACAGCACTAAGTAAGATGGAAAAATATGAGTGAGCTAAATTCGCCTTGTAATTGTATGAATATCCTTTGAATCAGACACCAACCAGCACCCAGTTCTGGTGTTATTTTTACTCAAGATTGCAAACTAAACCAAAGTCCTGTAAAAGCAGGCACTGTTTTGTTCAAGACTGATCAAAGACATTGAAATATTTTAACCTTCCTTTACTCCTAGTACTGATTTTCACTATTTAAGAATCCGTTAAGGAGAAGGCGTTAGTATATAAAACGCAGCGAATGTTAGATTTTGGGCTTTCCTTAATAGTACCAACTTGTTAGACTTATGCTATATGATGATTTGTGAATAGATATGCCTTTTTTTCAGTCAATATTTAGCAGAAATAAGAATAGTAGCAAAAGCCTTTATACAATTAGGTTTAGAAGAAAGACATTCCGTATGCATACTGGGCTACAACAGCGTACAATGGTTTCTATCAGACTTAGCTGCTATTTTTGCCGGGTAAGTTTTGATTTCACTTTAAAACAATGTATTCTTTATTGTAATTCAAGCCAACCTTATTATAATTTAGATATTCTTCGCTCAGTTTCTAATGAGTTCCAGTATCTAGAACACTTTCAATTGTGTCATATTGCCACATTTAATTATTCATCAACCACCTTTTAGATCGCCGGCTAGTATAAACGTGTTCACCTTTTATGTATGCTGTAATTTATTCAATGTTCAATCAAAGTTGATGTATTCCTAACAATATATTCATAACATAAAATAATTACATTTTTTCCCAGAATAATTTAAGTAATTTTAAACACAAAAAACTAGTCTTTTAGAACAGTGTTAAAGGAAAGTTCCATTTTCAAATGGTTAGTTTACTATTTGTCCTACGAATGTTTAATAATTTAAATTTTGTTTTTTATGTTGCCTTGTTTCTTGTTCAATAATAGTCATTGTTACACTTGCTGTATAATTTGCTGATATTACGAGTAAAATGTATAAATAATGCGTTGTTTGTACTTCGGCTGTTCAATTACAATACTCATCAATTTTCAAGTATCTCAACTGTTTATTTATTATACCTACGCGTACATTTTCAAAATATGATTGGAAGCTTTTACTAACCACATAGTAAAGTAAGGCTGGTACAATAAATAAAGTAAAGTAATAACTGCTTTGTTAGGGGAATTGCCGCTGGAATATATACAACAAATTCTCCAGAAGCGTGTCAATATTCGGCGGAAGTTAGCAGAGCTAATATAATAGTAGTAGAAGATGAGCAGCAATTAAAAAAAATTATGAAAATCCGAGCCAATTTGCCAAATGTGAAAGCTATAATACAATATTCTGGAGAACCTACAGACGATAGCATTCTCAGTGTATGTACAAATGATTAGCTTATTAGGCGGCATGCATTATTTTCGAATTTTAGTGGAATGCTGTACTTAAAATCGGCAAAGACGCCTCAGACACCATTCTTGACACGAGGCTGCAAAATATTGCAATAAACGAATGCTGTACTCTAGTTTTTACCGTAAGTACACATTCAGTATTAAAATATTTTACACAGTATTTCTGGTTTAACACTCATTAGAAAATATCGCATATTTTAAGCAACAAAAAGACCTATTTCCGAATAAAATTAAATCAATTACAATGAAAGGTAAGTACCGGCATTCAGCAATGTTTTATCTACTTTCATATGAAAACACTAATGATTAAATAATTGAATGCATAACCTAGAGGACAAATATTTTAGTCAGGTAGCAAGATATTTAAAAAGCACACGTTTAATTATATGCAAACATTAACTTGCTGTTTAGATTCAGTTTACGTAAAAAATAGATTAAATTATATTTGGGTTGTTGTTTACATATATATCTTTTATAACCTGTAATTATCGCCTTTATCGTTTTACGATTTTGTCCTCATAAATATCCTTTTTGGGTGGCTGATTATTGATTGAAGCAAACGTCTGATTATTATCGTTTAAATATCTGTATTAATTTGAATCCGTGCTGCCACAAACCAAAGCGCTATCGGCGTCTAATAATCAACCGTTGTTAAAAAGGGGGATTTTCGGACACATTTTTTTTATTTGAGCTGTAAAGAGCGAGTTTGTCCGCTCGGCCAATGCATGCAATAAGGAGCAATAAGGCAAAACTATAAATTCCACTTAAGAGAACAAGATGAAAATCCAGAGAATGGACTCAACAAAATTTTCCTCATGAACGATTTGAACAGAGTAGAAGTGCAGAGTGTCAATTTTATATATTCTTTGAACAATTTGTAATTTTTACAATATTCCTAAGACAAGAAAAGCGCTATCAATTTAAATGGTATTATGTCGGTAGTACAGTGTTACAAAATAATGAGTGGATTTGCCCGGTTATTCAAAACTACTAGAGTTTTATGCTAAGCAAGTTTTATAAATATTATGCCTGCTAAAATGCCTTAAAAGCCAACATTAATAAGAACCACGAATCTTGAAACCGAGAACATAAAAAACTTAATTGACCCTATGAATTGTAGACTATCCAAACAACTTTTTCAAAAGTCTTAGAGGAGCGCAAACCCTTTAACTGTTTTCATTCATGGACACCACTATCCCTCAATTGTTCCAGCAGATTCGTCGAAAAATAGAGATATTACACTTACATATCAATCCGCATTAAAAATTCAGCACGAATAAATATCCTTACAGAACATTATTTGGTAAACAGAATTTAGAATAAAATTCGAAAACATCACCAACAGTAGTCATCATATCGTCGCTAATTTCAGAAAGTACGGTATGTCATTTTTTAATAACTTTTCAGGACGGCGATTTACAGATATTCGCCGTCTTTGTATTTGGATCAAACTTACAATTTGTTTGCTAAATTTATTTTATTTAGTTTCATTTTATGGCTTCAGAAGTTTATATATTTTAATTTTATCTTTTCTGTGACCTCATTTTATCACCTAATTTTTTTTTTAAATCAAACACTTTCGCTGTTTTTGTACGAAGAAAAATAAAACCACCTCTTTGAAATAAACGTTTTTTATTCGAAATACGTGACCCAGAATGCAAGTACTGCAGTAAGTGTAACATAGTATGAATACAAAAACAATTAAAGAAATCTTAGCCCAAAATAAACGGTTAATATAAATTCAAAAAACACAAAAACGTATAACGTGGAAAGATGTACGAAAATTCGTAAACATTTTTATAAACATATTTTTTATTGTGATAATAAGCGATAAAAATGTTATTTTCATCAAGACTTACGACTGGATTTTCTGCCACATGCATAGAATTGAATATTTTTCTTCAGCGATTTTACTTTGTGGTACTCAAACGATTTGGAACCACAATTCTGAGTTCAACCAAAGATGCAATTTTGAGGTCAGAAGTGTTAGACCTCTTAGATGTTTTTGTAATGTTTTGAAATTCAAGAAGTAGTTTTGTTGTAAGAGGCAAACATTGTCCAGTTGTTGGTTATTGTTCATTTTTTTCTTAGACTTAATTCTTCTGCCTGTCTGCTTCTTTCCGCTTGATGCTTTACAGACTGTAAGACTTTCTTAACCCTGGATATTCTTCTGATTTTAATTGTCCTAGACGGGTTGTATGGTGCAACACGACAAATTTCACAGAAGCAAGGAAAAGTAAAATTCAACGTTAATAAAAGCAGTTTCATTAATGAAATTAATTTTAAAACAGTACGATGATCCAGAGTTATTGAAATCTCAACATAAGTTAGAATAGGAATAATAACAATATGGAGTTATATCGCTCTTTATAATCAAAAACGAATTTAATAAGACCCGAATTTCAGCCACACTCATTTATTCTCCAATGTTCCACCAATATTTAAGATACGTATTAGTCAGGCAGTAGAGAAAATAATTTTACATGGCCTTTGCTAGGCTCGAAACTATTTGGTTCGCAAATCTACATGTAACTAGTGATATCTTATTATTGGTAATGTTTATTCCAAACATTAACAATTATTTCTCTTGCGTGAAGCATCTTTTCTTTCAACCTAACGTGGGTCTACTATAATGATTTAATTTTTTTTTTAATTTTGCATGATAGAAAACTAGAAAATAGATAGTTAAACAACTAGTTTCCTTATTGTGCCGAGTAAGCCCATACGAACATGTCTACTTGATATGCATTTAGCGAAACAAATATTCTGTTTTTGCATTTAATTTACTATTTTGATCATGCAGAATGGAGATGTAGGGCGACGCTTGCCACTATTCGCATCACTATAAACGTAAATTTCAAGAAAATTCATAGAACAGAATATGTTGCTTCCAATTGACACACGTTTTTCTTAACATACCTGATTCAACCATGGGATCTTGATGCTTTTTATTCATCAACTTTGGAATATCTGCATATATTAGTTTGATGACTCTCATTTGTATAATAATCGAACTAATTATTTAAAATATGAGAAAAAATAATGATTAGAGTTAATCGGGCGAAATCAAGCCGACTTGAATACATGATTCAAAGGTTCACTTTTTATGTGAAAACATGTTTTATCACGAGGCACCGAGAGTTAAAGTGCAAATTTTTAATTAGCTACATAGGTACATCGATTAGAATATTGATGCCCTTGTAACAGCTTCTTTTTTACATATGTGTTTTTGGTTTTTTAAAACAAAATAGTTTGAGTTGAAATCTTTTTCGGGCTTATTTAGCGTGGAACATTGGAATTGCTTCAGTTGTTTTCACGGTCGTTGTCGAGAGAAGAAATTCTAATGGTCCACGCCTGATGAGCACGGAAATCTCTTCAACCGATAGTTTGACCGGCCGTGAAAGCTTTCATAGTAAGATAGAATCTAATCGATCAAATGCGGCAATTAACATTAAGTACACTATTTTTCGTAATTTTTTTGGACAAGTTGAAATGAATAAAATATAATATATTGAATGAATTAATACTTGTTTAAACATGATAATGGATGCAAGGCGAGTGGGAAGGACCCTGTCACGTACATCAATTTGAATGGAGAAAACACAATTGTTATCAGATTTTCATTTGTTTGCGAATTAGATCGTAAAGATAAAGGATTCGCTGAAAATAATAGGCTCAATTTATAATAAAAGTACCTTTGCTAAGAGCAAGCAACATGTTACAAAATTCCAAACGTTTATTAAAATTAAGAGTACGCTAGAATGCCTAATAGTTTATGCATTTTCTAATCGGCGGCTTCCACTTCAAAGACCTCCTTCTATAAACGTATTTATCCGAGTTTTTGTGTCAATGTGAGCAAGGCCGGAAATCTTCTCGGTGCCATCTGAACGATCTACTTAACAAAACTTGCAAGCTCAAGCTCGTCCACTAGATCCAAAGTCATTCGTACGAATTTAAAAGAACCATTGCGATGTGCGAGCTATCGGAAACAAATGGTATGTGTTCGCAGCGTTTATTTAGTTAACTAATATTTTGTACATAATAACACACTGAGTTCAAATGGATGTTGAAAAACTAATAAGTCCTTCTGATTCTTTTTTAAATCTTCACATAAGTGATGGAATTCTTCAAATTATTTCCGTTTTTCTAATATATGAGCAAGATAAGCTCCTTTTCGATCGATTTCTGACGAAGGACACCGGCCCACATACTACACACTATTATATACACCAGAACGGCCCACAGACTACACACTTATATAGTTAGATGACCGGACTAATGGAACTCGCGGACGGCTGTGTGCGTGCGAGTTCCATTAGTCTATGCCAGACATAACGCCGTAACGCATTCCGATTGGTTTGGACAATGCCATAAGAAGGTATCACTTCAAAAAACATAAATATTTATTTACAAAAAACTTCGCACAGGCTTACCATTGCATGTGGTGTTACTAACTATTCAAGTTCTCATGCAGAACATATAACATGCAGCCTGTAATAAAATTGAAGATTTGAAAATATAATTAATGTTACAAAAAATGTCATTAAAATAACTGTAAACTTCGATACAAAATATAATTATTTAAAACGTTTTATTTTATGGCTTGCTTGCAGTGTATTGGGTGTGACTGCAGCTTGTTCTTAAAATTGTCTATCGTTGCTGTTTGCTGAATTCTAGGGATTAGCTATTAACATTTATCTACATCTATTTACCAACGGTTTACGAGATTTTAGCCATTTTACATTGTGCTGGCACCAAACAAATGTAAAACATTAAAAATAGTAATTACATTGAGGAACCACTGGACACTTAAACTTAATTAGAAACTGGACTCAGTCTGATACAAAGTGCTTTGGGCCCTCTATTTATTTTGCTGTATCTATAGAGTACCAGCCTATATACTGTAGTAATTTTTTTGTTTATTGTATATAAATTCTTTAAAATCAATTCTTTTGATTCCAATGAATGATGTTAATAAAAAGGTAAAACTCTCAAAAAAGGCATACAATAAGTACATAAAATTCTAGTATAGATAACAGCGATCATGCAGTGTAAGCTCAAACATGACATGTATATACACGTCCCAATTAAATAAAAAAATTTGAGGAATCTCTACAATAGAAACTTTAATACGCAAATTTGTAATTCCATTCTCAATCTGCGATTTGCTTAAATATAATTTGAATGGCATTTACTGAATGTCTCTTGAGTATATAATTGCATATTTCCATCAACACTACAACGTCCTCGAAACCCTTTTTCAGGATTAAGAATATATGATTGTGGAATTAATTCTGTCATTTAGTGTGTTAAATCATCTGATAGATGTAGGTACTTTGAAAGGTTAATTAAAATATCAAAATTATTTGATTTTGTAGTCGGGAACACTGGGGAACCCCAAAGCTGTTATGTTAAGCCACGATAACTTAACCTACGATGCAACAGCCATAATGGAAAGACTGAGACTCACTAGAGGTGATGAGTTGATTATTAGTTACCTTCCATTAAGTCATGTAGCTGCACAAGTAGTGGACATTTACTTGTCGATGTGCGCTGGAGCGGCAGTCTATTTTGCTGACAAAGATGCTTTGAAGGGCAGCTTAGTTAACACTCTGCAAGAAGTTCGACCAACAAAGTTCTTAGGGGTTCCCAGAGTGTATGAAAAAATTTATGAGAAAATGCAACAAATTGCTGCACAGAATGGCTTCATTAAGAGAGCCATTGCATCATGGGCTAAACAGCACACCCTGCAACATCATTTGAATCTCATTAATGGGTAAGGATTGACTTCATTGAATAATTACACTATCAATACACCTATTATGTAAAAAAATAAACTGGTGCTAAAGTTCACATTTTAATTTAAGCATAATTAGTGTTTTAATTATGTTTTTTATTTTAGAATTAACTCAAAGTCATGGGCATATTCATTGGCGAGTTCTATAGTGTTCAGTAAAATCAAAGAAGCTTTAGGGTTACAACGGTGTAATTTCTTTTGCTCTGCAGCTGCACCCTTGTCTACGGACATTAAAAAGTACTTTTTGAGCATCGATATTCCCGTTATGGAATGTTTCGGAATGTCAGAAGCAAGTGGAGGACACACTTTGGCCGTTGAATCCGCTAATAATCTGACCAGTATAGGTAATATTTTAATAATATGCCCCAAATTTGATAAAACAAATTTTATTTAAAGGTTGAATTTTACCATTTTCTGATTCGTTCCAGGTATGACAATTCCTGGACTGAAAACCAAAATTTACAATCCTGAATCAGATGGCCAAGGAGAACTGTGTATGTATGGAAGGCACGTTTTCATGGGTTACATCAATGAAATAGAAAAAACTAAAGAAGCGATTGATGATGATGGTTGGCTCCATACAGGGGATTTGGGACGCGTTGATGAAAAGGGCCTTGTGTATATCACAGGAAGACTAAAGGAATTGCTAATTACTGCAGGGGGAGAGAATGTTCCACCAGTAAGCTTATTTTCATACAGCCCGTTTGATACCGGAAAATCATCATTTCATCAATTGTTTAAAATATTTACGATCAAACGCGCGTGAGCAAGAAAACTGATAAAAGCTTGCGAAATGGGAAATTTAAAAATGCTAATAGGCTTTCAGTTGCAGTCTTTATGGAATCCAATTCGTCAGTTGTGCCGGAGCCGGTTTTTTGGTCGTTTTTCTATAAAGCGTAACTTAGTAAGACAGAAAACTGACAATTTTTTAAATTTAAATTTACAGTTTAAAAAGTATAATTGAACCTTATGTGCTACTTCCTTTGTTCAAACTGAATCACTTTATAATTAACCCGTTTAGGAGAAAAATAATCTCAAGTTTGCACACTACTTTGACCATAACGGTTGATCTTATCATTTGTGAGCTCTGGCTTCAGTAGACTCTCTGTATATCATACATCAGGAAATCATGGGTACTAATTATCGGTCCTTAGTGAAATGGGCATAGCTTTCCACTTTAAAAAATAGTTTTTCCATAGGTACCAATCGAACAAAATGTTAAATACGAACTTCCATTCGTAAGTAACGCATTCCTGATAGGGGACAAGAGAAAGTACCTATCGCTTCTAGTAACGTTAAAAACGGAAGTAGAGCCAAACAATGGTGCTCCGTTGGATACTTTACTGCCTTCTACTCAAGAGGCGCTGAAATCTCTAGGATGTCCTGCTACTACTGTAACGGAAGTACTAAATGCCGGTCCTGATCCCAAATTGATAGCAGCTCTGGAAGCTGGCATAGATCGTGCTAATCAAAAAGCTACATCTCGAGCGCAGCGTATTCAGAAAGTTGCTGTTTTACCAGCCGATTTTTCCATTCCTACTGGAGAATTGGGTAAGATTTGAGCATACATTTTTTTATATTGCTAGCTTTAAAATTAAGAATTTTCTTTAGTATTTTCGTTTCTGTAGCACTGAAGAATAGTGGTTTAGTCCACCATATACTGGTGCTAATTCCAGTATTATTGTTAAACATTTAACATTTTTTAACAAGAAAATAGGAAATATTAATAAATTGAAAGCTAAGTAAACTTGAAGTTGGCTCCGAAACGCTTTATTGTTAAATCTAAATTGTCGGTAAATTTAAAGTAAAAACGCATAAAACGGAAATTCTAAAGTGTTGCAAACATACACAATAACGAAATTCAACACTTGTTTCCTTTAGCCATGTTCTCTTAGAGCTTTTCTTTTATTGACGCTTGCCGCTCTAGTTTTTCTCTCTTTATAGAAGCTGTTGTGCCTCTTGGAGCAGTTTTTATCTCGATAGATTTAACTTTTTCGGCTTCGATGCTTATTGAAAAGTTCTTCGTAATAATTATCCTTGCAAAATTACAACGAAATGAACGTCCAGTGCTCGAAACTGGTTAAGCCGTCGTAAAAATATTTCTCTTCGGCGTTTGGTAAGCACAAGTGACTTGTTGGTCCTGGCGTGTTTTTATTTGAAATGTTAGCCCAATGGAACCTTTTAACCGAAAACACCTCTAAAGGTGAAAACCACTTGTGCTTGCTTGGAAACATCAAGAAGAAATTATTGTCCAAGAGTTCGTAAGCGCCCGTAAAACTGACCAGTTTCAAAATATGTCAGAAATACGTTTGTCTATTGAAACCAAATTTTGTGCAGAATAATACGTTCCGAAAGTGCATTATTATATATTACATATAAACGCAAACTAAAATAAAGAATGTAGAAAATCTCTTGATGTAGAAGTAGAGCTGTATATTAACAAATAGTTTACGAAATATTTTATTTGTTTTTAGGTCCTACAATGAAAGTTAAAAGGAGAGTAGTGGAGAACAAGTACTCAGACATCATTGAAAAATTATACAACTAAAGAAATAGCTAATTAAATATATATAGATGCAACGAAATATATTTTATAATCAATATTTTGTTTGTACCAATAAAGAAGGGTAATTTCATTAAATCGGTGTTTTAGGCAAAATTCAACGAATTCTCCTTTCCCCATAGATACCGTTTATTTTTAAGTTGTTAGTCCATAGTCCATAGTGCACATCGATAGCCACCCGATGTAAGTTGAAGCTCGGAAAAAAACAATCTTACAGAACCTTTTATTCGAGTATTTCACCTCAAAATGTAAAGTTGGGAATACAGAGTTTCCAACAAATCTTTTTTTCAGGTCAGCCCTTACCTACCCTTGTAGCAGATACGACGTACCTGGTGCGTGTTTCTCGCGAGAAATTCCTTATAAATCAAATAATTATGTTTTCAACATATACGTCTATTATTATTATTATGAAATTTTGTGGAATATAACGTTACAAGAACTCATAAATAAATTAACACGGGAAAACGCATTTGAAAACCTTGTAAATGAGTTACAAGAAGAATCCAAATTTGAACGCCGTGACGTGAAGATACATACTGAAATCGATGATAAAAGTAAGAAAACATTTTTAAGGCAATAATTCAATAAAATCGAAACTGGTACCGATAATTTTCTGGCATGATAATTGCTTTCTATTTCTAGCAAAAAATACGGAAATAATGTATTTCGGTAGTCAGTATAAATACTGCAGTGAAGCAGAGCTCATCAGCGGCAAGATATTGTAAGATCGTAATGAGACAGTTTAATGTTAGGAGAAATAGGAGTTGTTGAAATAATATCAGAAAATGTATATAAAAATCAGAACATTCGATCGTCATCAATTTTTAGAGTCGTTCTGACCGATTCTAAATACTTCTGCGATACTTCCTCTACTCCAATCTCTAATCGAGACTCATTTTTCTCTATTTTTCTTATGTTATTGCATGACTGACTTGATAAATTTTTGATAATTTAACTTTCAACAACTTGGTTACCGAATAAACTAGCCCTGGGTAATACTGTGTTGATGGGCGCTTTTGAGTTGATGCTGCTCTTTGAGTTGGTAAATGAACCTCGAATGCTAATCAATTCAAATTTCGTTTCTTTTTTCTATCATCGCTCGGAAATTGAGCAACAGTTTCCTTTTTACGTGAATTCTTCGCGATTTTCATGTTAAAAAAAATTAAAGCTGTTATTAATTTTAGTTTCGGCGTTGTGCATTAATGCAGCTGAGTGAAATGCTGACAAATATAAATTAAAGTTAAATTAATAAAAGGTCGGCGCTTGGAGCGTTTTTCGTTTAATTGTTGTTGACTTTAGTTAAGTTGGAACGTGAAATTTGCCTTTGGAAATATTGCAATGCGAACAGGCACTTTCTACAAAAATGCCAACAATAAACAAACTGAAATCGAACGCGAAAAGCATGAGTCATCGAAAGGGCGAACAATTAAATGATTAAATAATTATGTTTATTCTGTAGTTCAATGTTTTTTTTTTCTCTAAAAAGGGTATGAATGTTCAGTTTGCTACCGACAGTGGACGAAATTGGTCGATTGTCGCATTCTTAGATGGGAAGTATAGAAACGTTGTAGCCCTTGTGGCATGTGATGTAGTGTGTAAAAGTGCAGTGAACTTCTTGAGGATTAGTGGGTAGAAAATGGATGTTGAGGCTCCAGATTGCAAAAAACTGGTGAGAATGATCTCTAATCTACAAATATTTCAGCTCGAACTGAATTTAGTTTTCCGACAAGCAACTAACGTTTTATGGATTCTTTATATTTTTCTCTCTTTGCTTTACTGATTTCAAATAAGTTTGGCTTTGGACAGATTTCCTGCTGTATTAAACACATTTTCTACTTTCTTTCCAGGTGGCACTACGCAGCTTTCGGTAAGTTTAGCATTACTTTGCCCCCGGTTTCCATGTACATGTAGAACTTTTAGTCCCATATTCATCAACTGACTCTTAGGGTGGATCTGGTATCGATCTGATATAGTAAGTTTTTAAACTTTAGGAATATTTTGGACGGCTTTGTATTTTTCATATAAAGCTCATCTGAAGCCTTTCGCTAAAGAACCGCTTCAGATATGGACATTTGGGTTCCAGTATTCAATATAAGAAACATCAGCTCACTGATCGGATCTGGTTCGCATTCAACCATTGATTCCTGCACAAGAAACTTTTAAACTTTGGGAATATTTTGGGCGGCTTTGTAATTTAACATTAAGCTAATCTGATACTTGTCTCCAAAGAACAGTTTCAGACAATATCAGACATTGAGGTGCAAGTTTACGCCAAAATTTCATTTCAGAAAAACGTCTCCTAAAAAATTCTTTTATGAATAGTATGCAGATGCGTAAAAGCGTTCATTTTCAAATAAACAATCGAAAAATGCGATGCAAAATGTGTCCCGCAATAGTTTTTCCAAATCGTAAGCAAAATTTTCTTAACAATGAGTGAAGTTCGAAATGTTGACGGCATTTAGAGTGCATTCTACTTTACTGAACGCACGACTCTAAACTGGTAGAGTATTTTTCGGTATAACTCATCGCGTTTCATTGTGCCGCACTTTTAATTACGCTTAGCATTAAAGCTTAGCAACAAAAAAAGGTCACCACATTTTTTGCAACGCAATGGGTGACTGCAACGCAACTGTACCGGTGAGTTGCTGAGTCGGTGCTTGGGGTTGGCGCACCAAGCCATTTCGGCATCACTGCGCTTACTCCCGAAAATTCCGGCCCAAGTACTTTTCGCCAGTAAACTTGCCAAGTGAAAACCCAGACTAACACACAAGATGAAAATATCAACATTGAGGGTTTCCATTTGGAAAAGTTTATTTTGACCCATTTTTTCAATTTCGTTTTGAAACTAATTTTTTTAACACTTTGTGTTGATAGTTATCAAAATGTGATCGAAACTCTATGAATAACTAATTTTCAACAAGGATTGCAACTCAGATTGAATAACGAGGAAAAAATTAACAATTATTCTAGTGTCTGCATCTGAAATTTTTAACATGAAACTTCAAATAAGTATATAAAAACGGTTAGACTTAAGTATAGGATATTAAGCATAAAATATATTTAGAATTTGAAGCAAAATTTAAAAATGTAATAATATACAGGGTATTCCATTTAAAATAAGCATGTTGAAACCTACTTCAGCTATAACCGGAAGCGTGGCCATCTAGAAAATATTTTCCGTACACTGTCCAATTTTCAAATTAATCCTTATTTTATATAGTTTGTCATATAAATCGCCCTGTTTGCGGGTGAACCAGGATTGAGATGGGATTGGATGGAGGATTGGATAATTTTGGGAGGTCGGCTTTATCAGTTAGATGTACATAAATTATAAATGTTTTTAAATTGACGGTAAATAGATGCTCTAAACCTTACCGCTAAAACCATCAGGAAATGCACATGACTCACTCTATATTAACCGAATAAACAAGTTTCTCATCTGATGAAGAAGTCACATGATAAGTATTCCGGGACACATTAATGACCACAAAATTATTTGTTTTTTTTATAGAGTTCATGTAGCATTTCGTAGGCGTGGCCACTAGGGCGCTAGCAAACTTTAGAAGTACTTTTATGTGATTTTCTTTAAAAATAATTGTTAGAAAACATATTAGAACCATGCCGTTATTAAATATCCATCTTTTGAGAATAACGTCTTGGAATATTTTCATGGATTTTCACCATAATTATCTCTGTTGTTTCTTCTAGTGAAAAAAATAATTTAAAATCCTGCACGCTATTCTTGTCTCCTTTTCCAATGCTCCTCCATATATCTTATAAAATTTTCTTGACTCATGATGATCGATAAATCATCATGTGCCAGAATATCGTAATGCTGATCACATTCTTGAATTGTATTTGCAAATACAATATTTCTTATTCCGTTCACTAAAAATGGCCTGTGATCTTTATGAATATTCTGTTTAACGCTTCAAAGACAACTCCACGTCGACTGGTAAAACTTAAAAATACATAAAAACATGCAAGATTTTCTAAGGACAATTATCAATTACAATAACTTTTGGAAAACTATTAAAAAATAATGATTCGTCTTCGATCGCATTCAAAATTAATTTGAATAGTTTTAGTATAGGTATTCTTCTTCAGTTTGCGAAGCAGAAGATAAAGATCAGCACCAAATTTAGTAGCAGGCGAATTTTCTTGGTCACAAGAACCTGTTGATTCGTTAAAGCAAATTTCTCGGGAGACCGATTACAAACTAGCTGATACTGATAAAAAAAACTGATACTGAAACTGAAAAACTGATACCCTATTAAGCGCAATGTCCGATTACATTTTATACCAAATTACAGGCATTTTCACTGCTGAACTAGGCTTGAGGGCGGCGCTTATAGACTCGATCCTCGCTACATGGTATAGTATGTAAATTTGCAGACCGGTCTCACTCAGTACTACTTCCAGTCTTCTGACTTTATTAGGTTTAATTTTTTTATTCCTGGCATAAAGGTTTGTCGTGAATAAATGATGTATGAATCTACTAATAAAGCAAAAACAACTTTTAATAAAACAGTTTCTATTTCGTCAAATAATCTTTGCTTACAAAAAAATATAAATAATACCGTTAGGAGATTTAATTTTTAAATACCAATTATCTTACATAGTTTTTAAAAAAATAAATAAATGAGTGGTATACATATATGCAATATAAACATTTATACATTCGGTTTTGGTTAGCTCAAGTTAGCCAATTCTACAAGCTCTTCGGCAAAGTTCTTTGGAATTACAATGGATCATTCTAGTTCATAGGTACATGTTCAAAATTACCGTAACATTCATCACTTTAAGTTACAATATTTCGATATTTCCAATCATTTTCAGATCGTATACATATTTTGGAATAAGCGAAAATGTTGATATATTCAATTTTACTCACATCATGCACCTAATACTATTTACTAGATTGAAAATGAATGTTGCAATGGAACAAATTTCTTAAGTTAAGTTGAAAATGGTTATGCTAAAATTACAGTAAATATCATACAGTTGGCGGCCAGATACATAATGCCTATACCGCGTTGGAGAGTTGTTTCAGTTTAACGTCACTAATCTCCATGAAAATATGGCAAGTTAAACGTTGAATAACACAAAATTCTAAAAATTTAATGAACTCATGTATGAATTTAGTCTCAGCATTTGTTAGTTAGTTCAAGCTTACTTACTACTCTTCAGACTTGTAAGAAATAAATTTAATACTGAAACTAAATAGTTATTGGATTTTTATTATACATAAAATACATATAAAAAAATATGGCTATAGAATTGGTTAAGCTAAGTTGAACCTTGTGGTAACGAAATGCTAGCTTGATTGGGAAGGCTCCGTGTCGGCAGTATCGTCGCTACTATCAGAGTCCTTATTACAACACTTACACTGCTGTGGTTGATGAGTTGGAACGGGTTTTTGCCTACTTCTATTACATTTAGAGTTTCTATGACACTTGCTACCGCACTTATTCGAACGATACACTGGCGTAACAACTTCAACTTTTATGTTGGCTGTGGCGGTAACTTTGGTCGTATAAGGACCAATAGAACTAGACTCTGGACTGCTATATTCGACAGTCACTTGCGGTTCGACTACAATACTCTGATTACAACTTTCTTCGGTAATAGTAGTCAAACTAGGTTCTCTAGTGGCTTTGTTCGAGGAGATTCGGCGTGAAGGCTTTGAAAACACCTTGGGTTTCTCCGGAACAGGGGTTGGTGATGGCGGAGGAGGAGTCGAAATTCTATTATCGTGTTCGTTGGGTACAATTTCACCTTTGGGTCCAATTAAAGCCAGCATAACTGGGAAGAAAACGAAAGAATTGGCAAACGATGTTATCACTGAAAGTATTAGGAACTTGGACACTTCGTTATGAATGAACTCAAAATCTGATACCATAAGAATTATTATAGAAAATATGAGCCCGATATCACCTTTCAGGATAGCATCAGCATTTACTTCTAAAGAGAGTGCAACTCGCCTTTCTCTACTCCCAATGGCACTTAAGAACCCTGTCGTTAACAGAAGGATATTTCTGCCAACGATAATAAAGTGAAGTGCTCCCATAGTACTACTGAAAGCATTAATATTAAGAAGCAAAATAGGAAGCATAGCTCCAATGGTACTGAATAATGAACACCACAGCTTCGACCACTTTACTAATATACAAGCAACTAATCCGGCTGCACCAAAGCTCAGTAGCAGTTGGATAATTATTAATTTATCCAAAAGTAGGAACTGGTTGAAATATGCAAAAATAAGGCCAACGGGGTAATTTTTAATCCCTCTGGAATTATATTCTTCTGAAATAGCTTTAATTTGCTTGAGTGCATTTATAATATCCCCTGTGCTTTTAAGGCCTTTGAGGTAGAATGGCATTTGAGCGCGAACTAATGGTGGAGATCGCGGAATTTTCAAATCATATTCCGCGTTCGAACTATAGTACTGGAACGGTTTTGGCGACAAATCGGCTTGACTATTGCTATAAGACATTTGATCATTACTATTCCAAACTGACAGATAATTGTAAAAGGCTTTGGAATCAATAATACCTTCATACACCAGTCGTTTCTTCAATATCTGACTTTTATCAACAGGAAATTCTACAATACCAGTTTGCGCCATTAACTTAAAGGCTAATACTGCTTTTTCAGTGGCATTTGAAAACCACTTTTCACTATTCAGACAATTTGCATTTCTGCTATTATCGAATTCTAATTGAAGATCTTCAAGATAATCTCTAAAATTTTCGAGCCAAAAATTATTCATAGCCAGTCCACCGTTGGAGTCCTTAAGTACTTGAGGAACATGGGATAATGATGAATGGAACTCATGAAGTAAAGGCTGACTAAATGGATACTCAAACTCGTTAGTCACCATATAAAAATTATAGAATCCGAAATATTTATCGTGTGTTTCAAGATATTTATACTCCTGAGTGTCCCGCGGAAGAAATGATGACAATTTTACATCGAATTGAACTTTCAATCCATTATGAACGCAGACGATCACCAATATGGTGTAAATTAAGCATAAAACCACTTTTACAGTGGGTTTCAATAACACCGACTTCAAATATCGCACTATAAAATACGATATAATACTTTTCTTTCGATGGCAAATCAGTTCAGCTGTGAGAAGGTTTGTTCCATGTTCCTGAAACAAAAGAAAAACTAATGTAAACTTTTGTCACAAATCAATTAAAATCTTAATTATAAATTAGGTTTCATTTAAACTTCATAGCAAACCACATAAAATGACCTGATTTATAAATAGGACTATACCATCGCACATGAAGAGTACAGGGGAAAATCAAAGAATGTATTCTTTATTATATTTTTTCTTTCCTGGGTTTCAGTCAAAATGTGAAATAAAAATTTTCATATTGTTTATTTCATATAACGTTTCGGTGAGACATTTCAACGCGCCATCAACAGATTTAAAAGACAACACAAATCCATAATTAGGAAATAAGAAAAAATAATCTAATGTATTATTTATAATAATTGGGGCTTATTGTGTTATCTGTTATTAAAACCTTACAACTTTCCGCTGTTCTATCCACTCAACATAAAAGGGGGGAAAGTCTGCAATTACGTTAAATGGCTGAAATATTTCAATACAATTAGATCCTTTTTTTGGTCGCACTAAATGTGTTAAGTGATACGAGTGTTTAAATTATGAATTAATTAATTATGGTATAATTTACTAGCTATTATAAAGACCTTGATCTTGCAAACCGATCATTTTTACAAACATTTTGTATTCAAAAGTCATACAAATATATATTTACAGCATGAGTGCTAACAATTTGCTCCTGATGTAACAAAACACCACCAGGTGCTATTTGCAATTTCCGCTATAAAACACTTAATTTTACAAAATGTCTGTGAATAACGTTTACCTATCATTTAACCCAGGGGCGGATTAAATAAAAAGGTCACATTTTTTAGAAACGTTTTATCAAGTAGGAGCCTGCAAAAGTTGGAAATTGCCACATCAATATAGAAAACTATTCGCTATCAAGCAAACAGTCAGCTTAGTTATAGTGTGAATTTGGTTCCGATTGAGCTCTTGGTTAATTCACAAGAAATTTTCAAACTTGAAATGAAAGGCCAAATTTGAATCTGATATGTGATATACAACATAAGGCCAAAATGTTATGCATTATGCCACTTTTTTCTCATTTCTCAGATGAGATTAAGCTCTAGTACTGGGTAGAGCCTTAAATGGCACATTTTTACTAGTTAAGGCATGCGATCTGATGCTAGCAGTTGAAGCAATGAGCCAGAGGAGATTGAAAAAAAAATACAACAATTTCAGATTGTATGTTGTTAATTGACCATTTTAATTAGTTGAAATTTCGTTGGTTTCTATGATCGCTCGGAAGTCGAGCAACTATTTAATTTTTAAGTGATTTCTTCTCGGTTTGTTTGCTTAGTCAATATTTTTAGGAAAACAATTAATTCGGTTATTAACTTTAGTTTTGGCATTGTGCATTAAGCACTGCAGCTGAATGAAATGCAGACAAACATGAATGGCTTTAAATTTTAATTTAAATTAGGGAAGATCGGCGCTAGGAACGTTTTTCGTTTAGTTGTTGTTGACTTTCGTTAAGTTGGAACGTTAAATTTGCCTTTGGAAATGTCGACAATAAACAAACTGAAATCGAACTGCCAAGCAAACCAATGAATCATCGCAAGGGCCGAAAAGGCAAATTATTAAGTATATTATCATAGTCATAGTATTAAGTCCCATGTTTATCAACTGACTCGTAGGGTAGATTTGGTATTGATTGAGCTATTTGGTCTTTCGTAATTAATTTTTAAACTTTGGGAATATTTTGGGCGGCTTATTAGATAAGTTTTCACTTTTCCTTTTTTTCAAAAGTCAAGTTTTAGGTTTGCTTGCTTTTTTTTAATTGCGAAATCGACTCAAACATGTAGCCCCGCCTTTTTCGACGTTGCTCAAAAACCATTTGAGCCACAGAGTTCGTTTTTATATCATTGGATAGAGAATTGGGAATTCGATTCACTTATAGCAACTTGCGTGAGTAAATCCTGGAAGATTTATCAAAAAAGGTCATACGAAATTTGAATATTAGATAGTTAAGTGCAAGTTTACTCCAAAATTTAATTTAAAGAAAGCGTCTTGTGCAGAATGTAAATCTTTCAAGTCTCTACTGGCTTTGCTTTGGAAATTTTTTTATTGAAGAGTCTGCAGTTGCGTAAAAGCGTTCATTTTCAAATCAACATTTAAGGGTACAAAAGTCAGGATTTCATGTGATTTGAATTAACTTTTGTCGAACGTCTTCTTTACTGGACGCACAACTTGTAGAGTATTTTACGTTTCTGAGAAATTCATTTTTGAAAAACTTAATTTGAAATGTGTGCCGCAATAGTTCTTTCAAATCCTGCGAAATGTTGATGAACGATGAACAAAGTTCGAAATTTACAAATACTCTGAATTTTTCCAAATACTCTAAACTTGTACAGTATTTTTCGTTTCTGAGAAATTTATTTTCGAAAAACGTGATACAAAATTTGTCTCGCAACAGTTTTTCAAATTATAAGCAAAATTTCCTTAATAATGAGTTCGAACCTTAACATGTGGAGTATTTCTCGTTTTTGAAAAAAATGAATTGAAAATGTGTCCCGCAATAGTTGTTTCAAAGATAGATCTTTTTAAGTCGTCACATATCAATGAAGCCTGGGGAAATCTCAAAGTATGTATATTTATAATGGAGTCATTTAGGAGCTCGTTCTGATAGTTACTTTTCAATTGAATGAAGACACGCCAAGAAACATCAAAATAATGAAATTTAACACAAATTACGAATAAAAACGAATTTTGGTCCATGTTTTTTTAAGAAAATATATGCACACACAAAAATTCCTGCCCATGAAGCTTTTGCCTGTAAAACCGCCTGTTCTGCTCTCATATATTAGGTAAATGGAAGTCAAATCTTTAATCTGAATTGTTTTAACACTGCATATTTATGCACTTTCATTGGAAAGTACCTGCAGAATTCGCACAATTCACAAACAATTTTTTTAATCGGCATCAACAACCTGGCATTTATTGGAGTGCTACAAGAAGTTATTCGCATATCCCTATTTAAAACTAGTTTCGCAAAGAAGCAGGCCAGTGTGCCAGCAAGGTTACGAACTTAAGGTAATACCAACTTATTTACTGTATTTCTCCAAAACGCCTTGTTCACTTTAACCTTCTGTGTAAATATTAATTGTTACCCGCGAGTGAAGATTCTAGTATCTGCCGGTAAATAAACTTTTAATTGCCGGTTAGCTAATTATAAAAATGTATCTGTTGTATTTTTCGCACATATTTATGAATAAACACGTAAGTAATTTGCATCTGTTACAGACTGCTAGATTAGGATTGCTGAAAATATGCTGAAAAAGTGACTGGTTTAACACTTTCCGTCAAAGCCTGTGATTATACTCAAAATTTGGCACAACGTCCTGTGTTTAGCTACAAAAATATCTAGTCTTAAAATATACAGTCAGTTTTTAGAAAATCATTTCTGCAAAAACCTATGAGAAACTCACCACAAAAACTAAGAAAATGAAGTGATAATGAGGATCAATTGACATAGATAACTAGTCCAATAATCTAACTGTTTACTGGTAGCTTTCTTTAAAGAATGTGAAGATAAACTTTTTCCTAAAAAAATTGAGAAGCGTTTTTCGGGATGACCTCGACATTGGTCTTATTAAGAACAAAAAGAGCTTCTTAAACAGATTGATAGTGTGTTGAGTAATAGCTTAAATTTTCAAATCCAAAATATTTGCTTGATGAAGAAAATACTTCGTTGTTAGATTTGTAAAAACGAATGGCAAATGGTGCTTTTTCAAGGTCCCGATAGACCTGAGTGGACCTTTTTGTATCAGTTGTCAATTTAGCGAAAAATTATAGTTCAAAGACAATCCGAATGAGTTTCCTTGAAAACCAATTTGTGGACAAGATAAAATTAGGAAATACCCGGTGTCGAAACTATTCAGAATTCGACGTGCATATTTTTAACAAACCAAACTGGTATACTTGGACATCAAGTATTCAAATATTATTTCCTTTATATAGTTACTAGATTATTGTTGGGGTTTCAGCAAACTTTAAGAAGCTTTTAGTTTTAATAATGTAAAACTAATTTGAATCGAGAGATTAGCAAAAGCCAACACTGCCATACTGGTCAAGGCTAGATATTTTTCAGCATTTAGCTTCACCACTGGTCGTTTAGTATCCTCATTCTGAATAAGAAAAAAATAATACTGTTTTTTAAGCCGTGCAATATGATATGTTCTATTCGAATATAGAGATTTGAAATTATTATTATTTTCGAAACTTCTCGAATGTTTGTCGACAGTTTCTGAACGAATTATTGGAGTTAAGTTCTAAATTTTGCTGATTAAAATAAATTTGGCTACTGAAAGGAATATTCGAAATTAAATATGGCAACGTAGTACCTATTGTCGTCTACGCATAAATGTTATGAAACCCAAATCAAATTTTTGACCTACGCGCGGTGACCGCTGTCTGAAAAGCGACCGACAAAGAAACGTATTTCCTTAGAAATGAATGCCTTTGACCGAACTGTATGCCGTATACAAATGGTCGGCCACATTTGGGAGTTTTGCTAAAACTAATTTTTTTTAGCTTCCTTATTTTTAATTTGAATTAACTTTGAAGCCTGAAGTGACGATTATTCTTTCTAACAAAACTTGTCTAAAATAGTAGCATTGATATATCGAATAAAAACTGAAGAAACTAATATCTGAAAACCGTTTTGACTGCAGGTAAGAAAAGTATTTCCATAGACCTTTAATTAATTTAGATGGTTTATACAAATGCTTGGCTACAGTTGTGAGTTTTCCCGACATCACTTTTTCCAACTACTTATTTTTTCATTTAATAAACAATTGATCAATTAGTATTTTAACGCTATTTATTTAAGCGCAAAAATAAACATTTCCGTTTTCTTGTCACTTAACAATGCATTAACTGCAAATATCGTGATACGAGGCATAAATTAATTGTCAATACCAATCTCACAAATTCGTTTCGAATGCCCTTTTCTAATGAAGAAGTAACCGCCATGGTCAAAGTATTAGGGTTTTGCAAAGACAACTTGCGTGAAAGCGTACGCGTTTAGGCTGCGCATATTTGCAGTTAATGTCTAACATTGTTAAGTGGCAAGAAAATAGACATATTTTCTTGCGCGAAAACTATGAATGCTAGAAGAATTTACGAAGAACACAAAATTGTGAATAAATGATTAGTGCATCAATAAAAAAAATGAGTTGATTCCATCTACCAAATAAAAAGTTCTGATAGTTTTTGTACCACGACAGTCAAGAATTCACCGCTTGTCCAAAACGGCTGAACTCGATTGTTTCATCAAAATATGAGGTTTGCATAAGAACAAATTAACAGCGAGTTTCACTAAAATACTTCGTACCATTCTTCCGATTTTTAAAATAAGCTAAACTTTTTGACGAACTTTGACCATCAATAGCATTTTTTCTTAATAAAAGTTAGGTCAGATCGTCTTCTTTTGATCCAAAGAATATCGCAGAACCCTTTTATCATGTGCTTACGGGACACCCTGTATAATAACGGAAAATTGCAATTTATAATCAGACAGTGATTCATGATATAATCATTTCGGAAATTTTTGAAGTTATTAAAATTAAAAATTTTAGAAAGGTTACATTAAAAATTTAAATTTAAAAAATGCAAAATTACTGTAATTACATATCCACGTTTTTTAGATAATTCAAAAGCAAAACCTTAAATATATCCACATTAAATAAAATACACTTACACCATTTTCAAATAAAACGGCTCATATGAAGACAATGTCGACTACGTCGAGACAGGTTTACTGTGAGACTATCAAGGGTACTTAGATCATTATAATTTAGCTAATGGATCTAATCATATTTACTTAATAGATAATTGATGTTTAATTAGTAGGTACTAGGAAAAATAACAAATCGCCACTGCAAAATAAAACCTCAATAATATAGAAACGTGAAATATTATACAGCTAAATACGACTTGAAATAATATCCGTGTAACAGAAAATTGAAATAGACTTACCAGATTATTATTGTTGTTTTGGATTGTAGTCCTTTTGGAATCTTTCTTGAAGCAGGGAACGTCAGACTTTCGACAACGTTGTGCCAAAGCCAGCAAACATGGAATAACGACCAACATTGCTGCGCCGTGAAAGATCACCATGACTGCGCACTGCAAGGCGAGAACTCTTAACGCTGGTACCGGTAATATGGCAGTTGATAGGAAAGTAGCAGCGTTGATCAGCATGGTTGAGATTATACTTGGTCCAGTACGAGACACAATTTCTGGAGGAGAAAGGTCCTTCGTATGCTCATTTAATATAAGGAACATATCGCGCATCGCGAGACCGACTGTTATGAACGGCAAAACGTGTGTACTAAGCAAATTTATTGGGATTCCACTCAAACTACAAACTCCTAAAGCTGCTGTCGTTGCACTGGCCAAAACTAGAGTTCCGATAAACGCTAACGATGATTGCATTATCCACCCATACGCAGCTAAAACACCGATCACAATTCCGAATTTAATAAAGTTTGGATTCGAATACTCTTTCAAAATTCGATTTACGTTAGCAGTCGAAAATGTTAAAAATAAATACGATGAAGATGATTGTTCTTTCGCTTTGGTGAGACGATCAACTTCCTGAAACAGATAAGTTAATTAGTTATCTGTAGCATCGCAAGGATCGTAGGGGGGTTTCTCACCTGGGCGAATTTCGTTTGCCAAGCGTTCAATACGGTAGACGCTCGTTCTTGATTCCATCCAATATGATGCACTTTATAATGACCAGACCAAAACTCAAAAAGTTCGTGTTCACCCATAAGCTCAACGACAGTTTGAAGAGCTTTGGCTTGTTTTATATGACCAGTCTTATTCCTCTTAACCCCACCCACAATTAATTCTTCCGGCCAGTGCATGTATTTAGCGGCAAATCCATAACAACCACTCGTAAGTTCTGCGCCAACATCTACAGGACGGGAGGAGTTAAAATTTGGCGCAGTTTGAGGGCAATCTGGATCTTTCGGATTTAGACATGGCTTTTCTTGATAGGCAGTGGTGATACCAGAGCGTTTTAGATAGTCTTCAAGGAAATGGAAATCGAAACTTGTCCCTCCGCTTTTCATTTTGTCCATCAGCCCTTTGGGGTTCAAGTTGGTCCATTTGATTTGATCTCCTACACCATATCTACAAATAAAAGTATTTAATGTTTTCTTACGAATTTCCAGTTTAATATGAACGCTTTTAGAGTAATACTCACGGTATATGTACAGGATAATCAGGTCCGAGGAGTTTCGATCCTTCCCAAAAGCAATCTAGCGGCGTGGCTATAGAGCAGGGCATCATATTTTCAAATATTTGCTCAATATAATGAGCTTCTATATTTGGAATGCTCGGCGACTGGCAAAAGTCTTTTAATCTCCATGTTATATCATACATGTTTACAGTAACTTGTGTTGCTTTTTGTATTAGAAGCAAGTGTTCTAATAAGCTATGAGGATTTAGAAGATTCACATCTGGATCTACTCCAGTCTGAACGACCATTTGATGAGTAGAGAGCATCTCTTTGGGTGCAGTATCAGGGGTGTTCGATGGTTCAGCCCATAAAAGCTCAATGTCCGTATGAAAAGTCATACTTTTGAGTCCCACAGAGAAAGTTGCTATTGCTAATATGCTGACAAAAAGAAACTTTCCTGCATGCGTTTCTAGAGTAGATCCCAGCGATTTCAGTTGGCTCTGTATTCGACTTCGAATCCATAGAATGCCGCGATCTCCAACTGCTTTATCCTAGAACAAATGCCATGTTTAAACGCTATTCCAAAGGAACCAGAGCTGAATGAGAATCGGAGTCAACAATCAAATACACCTCCGAAATTTGCTCAACACCACACACAGTGAACATTTAAGAGCTTCCTGTATGATGATACATTTTTAATCAAATTAATAAATAAAATTTGTTGTGTAAAAAATGTTGTGGTTTTTGCAGCTGATATGATGAAAGGGGTACCAGGAGTTGGGACTCATATTAAACATTTCTATTTAAATACTATACCATTATGAAACAAGATTAATTAAACTATATATAAATAGGACTTATAGTTTAGGGCGGTGTGAAGACAAGTTTAAAATGGTTTCTCCCAATCAAACGATGAGATTTAAAATGTCTATGCTAATAGAATACAATTTTAAAGTAACCCAGAACATTTGTTCATTTGGATTAAGTTCTTTGCACAAACATTAATTAATACTCAATAACAGCTAGATGAATGATAAATTACAGCAGTCACCTTTTTCCAAAAGCAAAAAAAATCCACATTTATCTGCACATTCTACAGCCGATTTTTAAGCGAAAATAACTCATGACAACAAATTAATCTCATGTCCGTGTTACAAAAGTTCTCAAATGTTCCCTGGCTCATGCTCTCCCCATTTGTGAGATAAACAAGAAAAGTTTGTTAAATAGTAAGTATAATAAAATAGACAATTCAGCTATATGTATAGCACATAAGCATAAGATTAACTGAAAATTATACAATAACAAATTCGCGCGAATACATGTTTTGTATCATTTTATTGTAATCTTTCAATAACATTTAGATTGGAACCGAAAAGTTTATTTTGTTAAAACTATTCCTCTTTGTAGTTCTGCTATAATGTATAGATATAAAATTTCAAAATAACAAACAAAAATAATTTCTTGATAAAATGCGAAAAATAGACCAATAATATTTGCATTAACCTCATGATAAATATCCATAATCAGCAAAAAACAATATTTTTCTTGATAATTAGTACCTAAGGATGCGGACAAACCTCACAATTATTTAAAAGTGATAAAAGTTATTTAAGAACTGTTCTTCTTGTTGGGAGTTGGTGTCGTTGAAAACAGTTCTGGATGAAAAGCAACTATGAAAAACCACTTTGCACAAACACATCTGTCATGGTAACCACCCTTTTCCAAAATGCAAAATTTTCATATTTTATAAAATTTGAATTTATTTAATAAACGTTTATTGGAAACATCTACAAATAAAACCGAAGCACCTCTTTAAATTATTTGCTCATCAATATGAAACATCTTGTCTATAAATTGCAACTGCGTTAGAACAACTCATTACAAAACATTATGTATATTTATGTCATCATGCATTTGACATAAATGAGGAAATTATGTATAACCTGATCAGGGCAATTTACGTCCCAACCAACACAAATTTCTAGAGATTCTAGTCAAGTAGCAAATTTAATGCAAAACTAATCAGAAGAAAAAGAAATAAACAATTGAATAAATGACCGGCTCAACTGGCAAAAGAAAATTGTGTAGTCTTCCACATTCCAATATTCCAAACTCCCAACCAAAATTTAATATTATTTCATACAGAATCTTCCAACATTCAATTCATCAGAACAATGCTTAATCTACCCCTCTCAGTCCCGAGCATTATCGAATGCGCAATAAAATTAAGGGTAGACAAACTCTGAAGTACAAACGACAATAGAGTGCAAGAGCGTTCTTTCTGGAATCCCCCCCGTAGATTCTTCGCAACGCAGCTGCTCTTTAACTCTCATGTTGCCAAATATTGCAGCATTTTTTATTTCCAATTTAATTTTTAAGGAGAACTACATTTTATATGACAAAAAAATATCATTTGACTCGAAGTTTTTATTATTTATTACAAATTTTTTCAGAAATTTCGACCATCGAAAGATAGGCGATAAGGAAGCTTGCACTACTGTTCACTACCATCGGCATACCAGTTTTTAACGATACCAAAGAAAAACGTATGGGTTTATGTAAAGCCCTATAGGGAAAATATTGCTTGATGTAAGGGTGGTTCTGAACAATCCACCACCATAAATTTGATAATTTTTCGTTTTTTCAATTAATTTATATGCTTGCAGCATGTTAAACGCTGTTAATTTTGACTTATCAGCATTTCCAAATAAAAGCACAGTATTTGCTTAAAAGAAAAACTGAATCGAATTTTCCATCAAATTCGAATAGCAATGAAACCGAATACATATTTGGGTGCATATCGGCAACTTTGTTAACTATTCGCCCATATGGGTCATAGTATGGAAAAAGAAGGAAGAGATAGATGCCGGCGGGCTTCTTTGTACCAGTAACACACAGGACGTTGCCAATTTTTAATTTTTCTGAAGATGTAATCCGTGGCTGTCGAGGACCACCAAAGCAGAAATATAATAGAGAATCCGATAGATGAAAAAACGCGATAAGGTATAAAACAAAAATAGATTCAATGTGACGCATGAATCATCCATCATCCCAATTAAAGCAGAAAAAACGCTATTTTCAACATAACACTCATCAACTCCGAAATGATACACCGAACGCGAATGTCTATTTAATTATGACTAATTGATTTAAAATTATTAATTATAACTTTCTGCAATTATATGCTGTTGACCCTTCACTGTAGATAAATTTAATCAAAGACAAAAAAACAAAAAAGAAACAAATAAAGTAATATTAATTGGAAAATGTCACAAGAATTGTTATCTTGCCATGCAAATAAACAAGTTGTCTAGTAAGCAATTTTATCATCTAGCAAAAGTTCTGAATCAAGGCTGATTCATTCCCGTAAGAACAGCACCCACTTTCTCTTTAGAAATGAATTTTTTATCTGCTATGATAAATAACTATTAAATGTACCATTTAATATAAAAAGTAAAGGAACGGCAACACGGTGCAGAGCTTCGGACTATAGTAAGAGACCACCCAAGCGGTACCCTGACGTCACTGGGACCACCCGCAGCCAGCGAATGTTCCTGAATGCCTTGTTGTCACATTGATTATAATGGAATAAGTTCTCGGATTTTTAATGAGTTCATTGATGAATGATAGTTGTACTAATGAGACTCAGTCGGATATTAAATTAATTTGAACTCGAATGATGAAGATTACAGTAATACAATTTATGAATAGTTTGTTTACAGAATACATTTGAATTACAATGCTGTTGTTTAATTGTTAAGTTTAATTGTATTATTGATCTGGTTTTCAAAATCAAATATAAATATAAATGACTTAGTAAAAAATTCATGATTAATATAATTATGTTTAAAATGTGCTACCTGAGTCGAAGGCTCTAAAGAACATTACATTAACGATTGCAGTGCAAGAATTTAGAAAACCTCTATGAGCTATGACACAAAATGAGTAATTTGTCTTTTCTAGCAATGGGTAAGCTTCAATCTTCAATAAAAAAATTAGTGTAGAAGGAAAAGTTAATAAAAGCGCAGGTGTAAACCAGCACTTTACTAAAAGAAACACGTAAATACTGCTGACTAAATGGGGAAAATGACCCTACAAATGTTATTCTTGGGATAAAACATTCCTTAAAGATCCATAACAATCTGGTCTGGAAATTTATTCAAGTCTCGATGTGGGCAATGCACTTCCTACGCCAAGGCATCAAAACAACCCATTCTGTTTACTGTGACTTTTCGTACTATCGTACCGTTAATGGTTGACGGTACTATTGGTATATTGATTGTTTATTACTTGTCAGTAATTTAGAGCTGGATTTTTATGGGGAGGTGTACATGCTATTAGTAATTCACAACTGCAATTTATGTTTAAAAGGATAATAAAAAATTTCAAATCTATATGTTGATTTACGGCAACATGTGGCTTGCATTCGTGCAAAAATGTTACTTTTTTCATTAATATTGAAAGATTTGCTTCGCATAGTTTTCTTGATTCATCTTTATAGTTCCTGTCTTTCAGTCACAAAATTAAATTTGATGAAATTATGTACATATTAATTTAAACCAACAATTTAATTCCTATGGTACTTTATGATCGCAATAACTAAAAATAATGATAAAGTAATATAATTTCCGATAATAAATTAATATGTGACAGGGGGAAGTTCATTCGCGTCACAAAAACAACATATGTTTTTCTCTGGTGGGCTAGACGAAAAGCTACTTGAGAATTTCAAAGAATAACCTGGAGGTTTTATTAAGGATTCGTATAGTGACTCCAAAACTGAACATTTTAAACCCCAAAACACCTTTTATTTGCTGAAGCAATAAACAATTTTATAAAACTATAGTAAGCATATAAGCAGACATCTAAGTGTTTAAGATTTTTTTTTAAATCACACTTTTTAACGCCCTGTCAAAATCTGCACTAAAAAGTATGCATTACTATTTGAATTTCTCAAACTGCCCTCCGTCCGATCCACAAGAAAAAACTAGGGGATTTTTATTTAAAATATTTTTTCGTATGATCACTTATTTTAGAAAAGTGCATCAGGATTTAAAAATACACTCGGTATATTAACGTTCATTTGAAAGGGCATTAAGCACCACATAATTAATGTCCACAGGAAAATCTGTACTAATGTGCTTAACACCAAAATCTGCTAGAACGTAAGTTATTCAACAAATATTACAGCTAATGTTACCTGAACACGCCAGCAAAGAGGAAAAAAGAACAGAAATCTTCTTTTAAATTTTTATGTTAAAATAAAAATACTAATTAAATGACATTAAGGAAAAAGGGATACCGGCTCCATTAAAAAACGGAACTTACCAGAAGATAACAGAGAGCGTATTTACCATTCCGACAATATAGTGTGTCAAGGCGGAAAATTGACATAACATATAACGGCCGACGAGACCACCCATCGCGTATGTGTATACCGTGCTTCAATTAATGAACACATAGTATGCAAAGCCGATGGACAATTACATTATATTAACATTTTATAGTCTTCTTTGCATTTACAGTACCATAAAGAAAAATAAAACTGTTA